TGTCTCTTTAGATCTTGATAATTATCGAACTATAAAGCAAGTATGCGACAATTTTTCTTTTTACGATTTTTTGAAGCAAAACGAGAACGAGACAGCGGCCTTGTGCAACCGTAATAAATTAGTTGGTGACTCTATTTTTTAGACTTTTTGATAGAAATTTGAAAATTGTATAGCAAGTTACGTGGCAGAACTGAAATATGCAGAACAATTGGCAAAATTGGAGCAAATCTCAAAAAGAGACTCATCTACAATGTGCTCTTCTACAAGTGGGATCCCGTGTATGTGTTTAGAACTAAAATTTCAAAAATATGTAGACATTCCTTGCTAAATATATTAAACTACCACATAGCTAAGTAGTCAAGAAGCGCAGCTGCCTCATATCTGCGCTCCGGGGCTGCTCCTCGATGCGGTAGATCATGCTTTAAATATAATTAATATTCCGTCGTAGCTGATAAGGCCACTTATCGATCGGGCACAAACCTTCTAAGCAACGCGGCCAATCTCATCGCTGCCTACTTTTTTCTGACCATCATCAGCATCTTTCACATATAGGTGACAACATGATCTAATTTTTAATTCTACGCCCGCATGTGTTTTCCGCACACATTGCGCATATCGAAAGTCGAACGTAGAATACCAGAGCATTTTTCGGTGATGAATACATAAACATTTAACGGATATTACACATTGCCTAAAACGCAATGCTGTAAGAAATGAGCGGCTGAACGTACTATGACAAGACGTATCCGAGACGGACAGGCGTTTAAGGTAAAAAGAGAAAATTATTTAAACGGAAAAACTTTCCTTTAGCACATTAATAGCCATGAATAAAAATATCAGCCGGTGTGTTAGTATCTCACATGCCACCATAAGGTATTTAAAAGAACAAATGAATGAAAAAGTATATGTATGTATATATGTATGTTTATATTCTTCTTCTCTATTCTTCTCAAATATATGCTTGACCAAGCAGACAATCTGTGTGACTGATGTTATCGTTTTGATGGTCCATTTTGTTCTCTTTCAATAATCATTATGAATGGATACAGGAAAAAAGAAAAGCGTCGCGAATAAGTATAATGTGTTACCATTTAATTAAATTCATTCGTGCCGCCCACATTTTTTTTTTTTTTTTTTTCTGTTTTTCTTCTTTTAGTTGACGACACAGAAGAGAAAGCGAGCGACACTTTTTCCTTTTTCCGGTAGAAATGTATTTAAAAAAGACATAGATCAATACATTTTAGAGGAGGATTTTAATAATAACATGGAAATCATTTCTATAGAGAGGAAGTAAAAGTAAATTCACGACAGTTGCCAAGATTTCGCATAAATTCGAAATATCAGACAAAGAAATATTATAAAAATTTAAAATCATTCATTCATTCATAAAACTCTAAACCTAATCCATATGTTTCATAGATATTCTTGCAATGATTTTCTTATTCATTTATCCCCTTCCTCTCTTCCTCTCCTTTTTCTTTTATTTTTAATTTCTGAATTGATTGTTGGTTGTGTGTTGATTATTCGTAAAGCATAAATTTCCATAACTCCACAGCCTTTCTGGTAGAAATCGCATGTCAGAGTAAATAATAGGACGCTCTATGTCAAGGAAAAAATACCACACAAAATAGTTGTAGAAGTGCAGACAAGTACTGAGAGGTAATTGGGAATCCTAACTATGTCGAATTCAGTCGCATATACTCTTCAACCAAAACATTTTCGATTCTTAGTGCAACAAAAGTATCAGTAAAGCTTACACATCCTAATTATATCCTAATTTTTTACGCCTGGGTTGCGCCTTCGATTACGAAGATAAAAGATTAAATTGTCCATGGCGCATATAAAGAGCTGGCCCCTCTTCAAAAACTATGCTAATGCTATCTTAAAGATTAAAGAAGAAAACAACAAGTGCCGTACAACTACACTAAAAAAGAACGTAGGTTGTTTGTGGTGAACAATTTCAAAACTAAGAAAGACAATCGCGTTTTTTTTTTTTTGAAATTTTCTAAAGGATTACTCTTTTTTTTAAATCCCTCATAATTATCTAATAACTTTCCTGAATATTATTATCCTGCCCGTCTATTCCATCGAAGAAAGTTTTCTTGAGGGTAAAGCGATCAAAATTATTTTTCGGTCCACTTTTTAGGTCAAAGATAAATATATAGCAACTTTTAATGGATGAAAGAAAGAAATGTGTTACATTTGTTGCTTTACTCAAAAAAAGCAAAGATTTTTATAGACATAATCCATTGTTTCCATTTTGTGCAATCACAAAGTCACCATTAATGTGTCTGTTCTTAAAAGAAAAGCGTTTATATCTGTTTTCTCACACTTATCGATTATTCTTGAATGCTATGTTGTTAAAGGTGTGTTAAACCGCAAAACAATTAGCTCATCACTCACGTGTCATATCTTTTATAAATAATAACGTCGTTGTGTTCTTGCCATGTGGGTGGCTTTTATAATATTTGAATAGGAAAAAACCACAGTAAAAGGACATTTTAGTTTTAAAGACTAAAGAAAGAAGGGGTGGGTTTGGTATAGAGACAACCGTGACGATCTTGACTTTATAACAAAACCTGCTCTTATTGTATGCTTTAAATGATTTGATGACACTAGCAGTGTGAGCAGAAATAACAATCACTTGCGTGCTTTTTACATAAGTAATGAACTCGAACAGATGCAAATGAAGAAAAAAAAGAATCAACTAATCGCTAAAAAAAAAAAATGGCTTAAATTAAATCTATTAAACAAATGCCTAATACGGACGGAACAAGTAAATATGCATCCATATAATATATGCATATGTAAGAAAGAGATAAATAGATTCTTTTCGAAACGTTTAAGAGGCTCTTTATTAAATGCGTTGTCAAGTGATTTTGACTTAATTGGAATATATATGTATATATATATATATATAAACGTATATATATATATAAAAAGGAAAAATAAAAATTTAACTGTATTTTAACAATATTTAATATTTAACGATGGCGCTTGTGTTTGCATTGGGTATAAAAAAAACTTTAATATGATAGTATACTTTTGGGCTTAAGTTATATTATGAGCGTTAATAAACTGAAGAGATAGAAAATATCTTGCTCTGCTCTTAAAATAATTTTGCATATATTTATCATTAAATTTAGATTTTTTGACACGACTGACAGCAAACTGCAATGACAATGAAAGAAGGTGGTAGACAATAGACTAAAAAAATAAATCTTTGTCATTTTACATAAGACACCAAAAGGGGAAACCTGGGTGACTGTAAAGAATGTTTCATTTGATTGATCTAAAGCCATACTATTAAGGGTTTACGAATTAAAGGTCTGGTAGAAGTTAGGAGTTAGTCATTAAGTTCAGAACCTACATAATTACCGGATCAGAACAAAAACTGAAAGGCATGGAAAGAAAGAAAGTGATTATGAAGGAAACATGAAAATCGCAATTTTTCGTTAATCGCTCGATGCAGGTAACGTTTGTTTCAAAGCGGCTACAGAATACATCATTCCATTCCATGAAATGAATTTTTGATATATTTTTGTCTACTGGCACAAATGCATTAATTTGAATTTATAAAGGAAGTGCCAAGAATATCATAAAGAACAAGTACGTGACACATTAATATAAACACGATTTCAGCCTTGCGAGCCAGAAAAAACTGATGTTGCTGTAAAGGTCTCGTGTGTCTACAGTTGAAATTTACAGAAGCCACAAGAATTGTGAAAGATGAAAGTGATTTTGAAATTGATTCTACGTTGATAGTCCATACCAACCTTTTACGGAAACTAGTAGAAATCAAAACGAACCGTGGTAAAGGCTCTGATCATGGTGCACTGCGCTTTTAAGTCGTCTTCTAGCTCTCGATAGTTTTTTTTTGGGGTTTTTTTTAAGGTTTGTCGGCTTTTTCTTGTAAAGCTTTTTAGTTGTGAATGCTTGGTGTGACGGTTCTTCTGTGTAAAGGTCTTTTTGAAGGTGTAAACGTTGTTTCACGTGAAGGCTGCAGGTTTGATGGGAAGCTTCGTTTGCATAAAAGAAGATGAAGATTTGGTGGGAAGGTTTTTTGGTGATTGCAGCTTGGTGTGAAGGTTTCATTGTGTTTTATTGTGCGCGCATTTATTATTATGCATCATTTTTTTATTAATGCATACATTGTACATCTATGTAATGCAATGCTAATTAATTATAATCTATGTTAATCTATATTGATAATAACCCTGTTAAATGTAATATATAGCAACAATAACCCGGTTAATTGCAATAATATCAATAGCCATTTTTTAACAAAACTGTTTAACTATAACCTGCTGTACGGCTTTGGCCGATACTCGAATATTCACGATAGGATCTTCAAAACAAAAGCAACAACGAAAACTAAATATTGATGATACCGTAAAATATTGGGCGACCGTTGCCAGTAATCCATCATTTACGCTATGCAATACTTGTTCGACCTATTTGGGCCGTTCGCAGCATGAACTGGTATTCAAAAGCCAATGTCTAAATTTGTGCAGTATACACAGACGAGAACAGGCGAATCGATTCAAATTTTTGTAAAAAAAAAAAAAAAATTTATTGCACGATTAGTGATCTGTTTGCACAAACTTGGGATTTTAATACCACCAAAAATTGAAAACAAACTGGCAAAGAGGTGAGCAAACGTAAACGATTGATCGCTAGACTCATGTCTCTCATTGGATATTTTTTGTGCAGCCGCCTTTCGGACAATATCACAGACATTTGTACACCTATTAATCCGTTAATTTGTTGCACTTTTTGGCGCATCTACATACGTAATTAGTAATCAATTGCTACGAAAATCGCGATGCAAATAAATATCGCAAATTGACTAATGCCCCTTCCATCGGCAGATTTATATCGTTCGCGAATCTAATATAAAATATTTTATTGACAAAAGCGCATAAATTCATATTCATGGGTAGAGAGGTTGTTCTTAAAACGATTATATAAAAGAATAATTTGAAGCATATAATACATACCTTAACACCAATATGTACAGGCGAAAATTCGTGTAAAGATGGTATTATGGGTAATGGCATAGGAAGGGGGCAGGACATCATGGTCGCTACCTGTAAGTAAAATGATAAGAAAAAAAAAAAAACAAAAAGTTAAAAAAATGTTTTATAACACACAACACAAGAGGAGAATTAATTTTTTAAATTATTTATAATTTCCATTCTAATATCTTATCTGTTTTTTTTTTTTTTTATTCTTTCTTTACTTTTTTTTTAATTCAACGCAAATTTGTAACATAAACGACCGCATCATAACCGTTGCCAAGTAATATTTTTAAAGGAGTGAGAAAAATAAACTTTGACACTCCCGGTGTCCTTAAAATATGCTGTCACCCAAAATACCCGCAAACTAAAGCAAACAAATATATATATATATACACAAACGTAGAAACGATGCGAAATTATTTATAACAAAGAAAACCACAACCATAAAATCATACGTACGAGAGAGAAGCAGCAGCAGTAGTAAAAAGCGATGAACATCGAACGTTGCTCTTGCCATTCGATGGGGGCGACTTGCTCTATACACAAACACAAACACACACACACACACACCACAGAACTGCATATAAAAATTGTATAAACGTATATACTGGGGCACCCATTGCAACAAGTTTCATGATGAAAATGATGTCGCTTAAAGGCGCAAGCGAGCGAACAAGAGGAATGGGCGAACCATAAAGATAAACTATGCTCTTGACAACTACAAAGAGAAACCATCATCAAATGCCAATGTTGAGTTGGGGTTGCAAGCAGCATTTTGTACACAATAACTATACTGATGTTCATTCATCTGTCGTAAAGTAAATTAATGGAACCTATTTTCCCTTTATTTTTTTTTTTTTTTCATTTTTTTTATTTTGTTTCTTTTTGTTTATTATGTTTTTCGTGTTTTCGTTTTGTGCGTTTGTATCAACAGTACACGCAGCACACAATGTCAACAAATGTTTTTCGGTTGATATGAGATGAAAAAGTAAACTTATTTCTTCTTCTTCTTCTGCATCTGCATCTCCAGTGGCATCATTTAACATGTTATGCCTGCCAAAGTTCATAACATATATAGTGTAATATAGCAGTGCGCACACGTGTATATCAAAAACTTTTGTGAAACTTCACGTAGCTGCGTAATGGGATGGCGTGCAACAATTGTAAACACTTTCATTACAAATATTTAGTGATTCAATAGTTTTTGATCTGGTTAAAGTTAAATGTTTCATCATGTTTCTTTAACACAAACAAAGATACGTCAACAAAAGCGTGCTGCGAAAATACCATTAGGACTTGTTTTTTTTTTTGAATGATGGTTACAAACGACGTAAGAGATTAATGAATCAAAGTTTATCTATTCAACTGAGGAACAATTAAACAAAAATCAATGCGGGGAAAATTCACTATCACTTAAACTTAATCAGTCAAAAACGATACACACTTCACTACGCAATCCCTTATCTCGTAACTTTGTGCCGGATTACACTGCCAGCTCGAAAATATGTTTCACGTAATGTAAATGTAAAGCAATGTCAGGTCTTGTTAACTCTCTACGACATAGCACCCGCATATTTGCCGGCTTCACTATTCGCTTGTTCTTTCCTTTGTTTTTGTTGCCTGTGGTTTCGTTTTTTATCCTCTCCTTTATTGGTTTTTTCCTTTCACAGCTTTTCCCTTGAATTTTTTCTTTTTCTATTGCACGCATTATTTAAAGCAATATCTTCGACTAGTGAAGACGAGAAATATGCGTATGCTATTCCGTGAAGTTAAGAAGACCTGACATTAGCGAGAAACAAGCGGATACTATTGGCCTCGTTTGTAGTAACGTACTTATCATGGTTCCACTTTGTCTCGTTGGTTGGAATATATTAGCAATATGCGAGGTTTAAACATTAACCAGCTCATCAAAGAAAAACTGCAAGCGACTTCTCGCGTGGAAAAAGTAAGAAAAGAAAAACTTACTGATCGGCCACGGTCCTTATGTCAAAAGAGCGCACACTATACTTCCCCTAGAGAAATTACTGCTTTGTTGCTGTTTTCCGTCGACCATGCTGACCGTCGACCACCTTGATCTTTATCTTGGGTAAAAATGAATTGCGAACATCATCGTTTCCAGCGTAATAACAATGTCAGGATGGTGAGAGGTTAAGTGAAAAAAAAAAATTTTCAAATATGACTCATAGCGGCATTCAACATTTAATTTTTATCTCTCCGTCTTTACGTTCGCTAAAAATTGAGTCTATGTTATGCCGGCCAACGAAGGCAGGCACTGTTTTTGGCACTTCTTTTCAATATACCCAGAAAGAAGCCTTAGAGGCATTACAAAAGCAAGCGTATTTTTTGATCAGTTGTCAAAGCCGGGATTGAATTAGACTTTTCCGTCTATCCATCTATTCATCTATATATATTATCTGTCCTCTATGCCCATCTGTGTAATGTTTGTAGCAAAAAGTCTTGGAAGAATGAAAATATATCTTTGCACGCACAGACTGCATTTGGAAATGGAGTCTAATTGCTCTTCAAGGGACACGATAACTACGATGCAATATAAATTGAGATCATTTATGTTTTCCATCTGGTTTTGTCCAGTACTCCTAATAAAAACTCTTCGCGTGTTTTTCATACAAAATTTAGGAAAATCAGCCACACCTATCTAAAAACTATATAGTATCGCAATTTAGTTTTTTCCCATCTTTTTTTAGTTTTCTTTAAGAGAAAATTACAGTTGGATACAAACGATTCTCGATCACAGCCGAATAGTGTAAATAGTGTTTTCTCACTTGTACTTCCCATATGGGCTCAAAAGGATCGTAAGACAGCGTTCAGTTTCAGTTCACCACCTAACTTTTCTACATCCATTGTAGTAATTGAAATTAAAAAGTGCTGTAGGGAGATATACTAGGGAAACAACAAGTACGAGTTTGATTGATGAAGTTCGGTGCACTTCTTTTCCCTGCATTTTATTTTGTCAATAACAAAAAAGCCGGCACATGCGGCATTATTTTATCGCATTCTTCTGACGCAATCTCTAATGAAATGAAATACTTATTTGGCATTAATCCGAATATTTTCAAATTGCATAAACACTAAAACTGCAACACATTACATTTTCATCTCTTTGACAGGTAAAAACAATAAAAGCAACAAAAAATTCATAAAATCCCATTAAACATTTCAGTTCCGCTTGACGCTCGCTATCATTCAAAATATATATATATATATATATACAAATCGTCCAATAAAAACGCAAAAAAGGACGGAACTTAAATATCATTGTCAAGGTTTTTTGTATTTATGCACTTTGGCGGTTAAATGCAATTTTTTTATAGATCAATGAGCATATTAAAAAAATAAAAAAAAAATAAAAAAAAGCATTTTTTTTTTTTTTTTTTTTTTTTTTTTTTTTTTTTTTTTTTTTTTTTGTTATGTTCATCGATATGACGAACGAGCGAGCAACCCAACAACACACCCTTCTCAGCAAAGCAACATTCGTCAGAGCAGAGCACAAGCAACGACGACGATAATCAAAAGCTAGTCAGTCAATAATGAAATCAAATCAATGTAAGAGAGCAGAGGTCTGGGGATATGCACACAGGAGAAGCAGGTGTGGGTGTGGGTGGTGGTGGTGGTGGTGGATGGGTGTTGGTGGCGATACTCTGTCTGGGTGCAAATTGTATGCATTCGAAAAGAAACGATATTGACACACACGTACACAGCAACGCAACACAAAGACACCGAAAATACTTATTTAACTAGTGATGATATAGTTGTATATGTGTAGCGGGTAATTGAACTTTTGTCATTGTCTTGATGATATTAAACACGCCGATGCTAATTGTACGGGCGAATGAACTTTGCAATACACAAACACACAAACACACACAAGCAAACAAACACAACAATTGTCAAGCAGATGACTGTCGTAAAATGCAATGAAAATCACTTTTATTTATAGTGAGTTCACACATTTTCCATTTCAATAAAATAGCGTGCATAACCAACCAAGCTCTAGTTCATCATTTGGTTTCCAGGTAACAAGCATTCGTATAGCATCGTCTCTCCATCTGTTATATTACACCTGATGCCGTTATAATCATTAGACTTTGTTTGTTTTATCATGATTTCTTCGAGTTAAATCATTAAAATACAAAATAAAACTATTAAAAAAATAAATGAAGCCCTGTTGTTATAGAAAGAAATCGAGCGCTGCGCATATACACATAGTACATAAGTGTAAAAGTCACACAAAAACCTTCAAAGTGTAACTATAATAATTTGCAACAATTGTTAGGTTAATGATGGCATAAAACATAAGGAAAAGCATATGGTAAGCAAGCATCAACATGCACACACATGCAAACACATACATAAGCCATTTCCATATGTTATGCATATTAAATAAGCAGATCGTAAAGACCACATTTTCCTGCCGCTCTATCGTTTATGCTCTATCAGCCCCCGTCAGAGTAGCGAAAGGAAAAGAAAAAAAAAAAAAACGAAAAACGAAAAAAAAAAAAACATATTTAAGGAAAGACGAACTCAGAACGAGAAAAGAAACAACCAAAATGGTTGAAAAAACATGTTAAAGCTATGTTATTATATACATACACACACATATATATATATATAAATACAATGATGATATTTGTTCTGGAAGAGAAGAACAAACCGCATACATATGAGCATTATAGCTCGCTTTTGTATGTAGAACAGCAATCATGAATACAACACATGCACACATGCACACATGCAAATGTAATATAATGCGTTTTACGCGGAGAAAAGTACAGTTTTAAACTGCAAAAAATACAAAAAAAAAA